GGAGAGATTAGGGGTGTTGTTTGGAAGTGGAGGTTATTGGGTTGGAAAGAGGGAGATTTAATAGTGATAGGAATAAGAGGTGTGATGAAAGGGAGTGTTATTTAAAGTTGGATGAGGTAGATAAAAAAAAAAAGTGGGGGGGGGGGGGGTGGTACAAGCACTCAAGATACAAATGTTCTAGATCGTTGTTTGCGGGACGGTGGGTGGGGTTGACGAATTGAATACGAGGTTTGGCCGGGGGTGTTGGGGGGGATCGTGATGGTGAATGTCGAGCAAGATTGTATGGTGTGGGAAGTAGGACCGGGGTTCTGGCCTGGAAGCTCTCGGGATTGGCTCTCGTAGGGAAAATCTGGTTAGCGGAATGACCCTGCAGGGGGTTTTTACATCATGGCCATATGACTGATGCCAACCACGAGGGTGAGGCAGGGGGGGGAGCGAGATTGAAGGGTTATCGTGCTCTGATTGAATGACACGAGAGGAGAGCGGGGCTCAAAGAAAATGATCATCTTTAATGGGGATGAGGAGCAGAGATCTGCAACACACATTTTTTGTTACCCTACCGGTTGACGGGTACAGTACTTTAACGAATTCACTTCTTTGCCTGCCAATCAAATACCTTGTACTGTGCCGTGTTCGTCACCCGTTGCTTTCCGTGGTGTCAGTCTGGACCGGTGCTGGAAATGTGGTGGGAGGTTGTGCACCTACTGATACTCGAGTTATTACGGCACCTCTTGAAGTAGGGTACCAGTAAGTCTATGCATTCTCTGTCCAAACTGAGTTTGTCGCGATCTCCCCCCCCCTATGCTTCAGGGGGAAATTCGATTACCCAAAGTTAACAACAAATTTCCCTTGCATTCGGATACCTACGGTACCGTGCTCTCGAACAGATGTCATCGCATCTTTAAATACTCTTGAACAACGAGCGAAATTTGGGAATGCATCACTCTTCGTGTCTCAGATATGATATTACTCAAGCAGTGATCCGTTGCTTCCGCTGGAAAGGGCCTTAAGGACAGGGCTTTGCCTCGAGCGGTATATCTCCTCCCCCTCTACCAATCCTGCCGGTGACTTTGTTTCTCAAGGCATTGCGACAAAAGCTGTGGGAGCTGTGGTCTAACTTATCTATCATACTGCCGGTAGATGGGGGATTGGGTGGTTTTGAAATTTTGCATGTGGAATCGTGGATCAGCTGTACAGTACAAGTAGGTTGGTAAGACGGCACGTGTTCGGTCGAAGCATGATATAATATCCTTCTATCGGTCAGGAGGTTTAAATTTTTGAGGAACCGCCATGTCTGTCATGAGATAAAGTGATTCCGATGGGGCTTTCGTGTGCACAGTAGAAGATAACAAAACAGGTTGGGTAATGATTGACGTGAGGATACGACGGGGTCTGCTGGTACTTTAGGCATTTAGTGCTCCCTACACCCCCCTCGTGCGATTTCCTAGCGGTCAGCGGAATCTCCCTTAATACTCAAGTGATTGGGAGCAAGGCGAGAGAGATTTAACCGAGCTTCGGGGGATGCATGAGAGATAGCTTGCTTGGGCATTTTTCCTACACTTTGAGATCTTTTCCAGCTGCGCGCTTTACCGATTAACTTAGTTGTCTACAGTATCAATCTATCAATCTCTTGTCGCTGCGTCATGTTTAATTTCCTCTGTTATGCTTGTACTTGTACCAGTACTGTATGGTAGCTTGACTGGCATACGAGATAGGTATGAACTCGAATAAACAGATCTCATCCTAGGACGTTGGTGTTGCCCTTCCTGGTAAGGTGTGGCCCCTTTTATTTATTTTTCTTTGGTGTTTCCCCCGTTTTCAGGGAAAATTTTTGGTCTACAGCACGGTACTTGTTCCTGACAGAAACCATGGGACACAATTCTCAATTGAGGCCCAGGCCGGGAGGCCCCCCTAGCGCCAGGTTCACCCTTGATACCAGCTTGGGGAGCCCTTTCTTGGCCCTAGAGTACAGTACTCGTACTGGTATTATGACGTACTCGAGTAAAGTACAGCCGCTAGTCACCCAGGTCGCACTCGGAGGTACAAGTACTCGTACTCGTACAGTACCAGCATTGAATGTTCTAGTGTCTTGATTATTCATATTTCCCTTATCGATTACCGGTATCTCTTCCGTCGCCAATAAAGTGGCTTTGCTGCCCCTCTCATCTCACACCCGCCCAACAGATTCGAGTAGCGGGGGCAAGTTCCCTGGCTGACCTGCTACAAAAATTGTCACTCACAATGCACTGGGACTCGTTCAACCATTTGCTGCCACTCCCCAGGCCCCATTCCCACAGGCAAAGCGAATGAGCATCAATTAATACAAGTACCGTATTAGACTAGAAGCTAAATTATGTGTGTTCCACCATTTAACCGCTAACTACATCCATCCATCTGTGCGATAGCAACAATGAGAAAGCAACATCCACAAATCCATGCCAAATCCGCATTAGCCCCGCCCCTTTTAAATACTCGAGGGTGAAAAATACCGTACTCGAGTGTTTAAAACCTGCTTAGTCTTGCAAGAACAGCAAGCAAGTATCCACAGAGCATTACACGGGGAAATAGGCGTTACGGCGACCACATCAGCCAAAAAAACTAATCCCAGATATAAATCACAAAGCGAGTGTTTAAGGGTCTTACCAGTAGCAAATTTTATAGGAATAGACTCGCGTTTCGTCAAACGATAAACCCCAATCCCAATCGACATCTCGGTAGGAATCCCCTTGGAGAAAGTTATTGTATCCCTATTGCAGGACAAGAGGTCCTGGTTTGTGAGACGCGATGATCAAAATGGTCGTTAGAAGAGAGAGGAAGTATGTGGAAAAAACATGGGCTGATGGAGTGAGAGCGAGAGGACCTACAGAAGCCTGGAATTGGGAGTACGAGTACTGTACTGTACTATACACACATAATTTACTCTCCTCTTTGCGAGAGGTCGTTTCGGTTAACCTTGTCTCACTTAGTCTTGGTTTGATCCGACGTGTGGCTGCCGGGTGTCTGTGCCCGGTACTTGTATACGGTAATAGTACCGGTACTCGAGTAAGCGAACGTGCCGAGTGGCGGACGGGCCGACAAGTGAGCGCTGTGGATTAACCCCTGCCGAATGACGCACAGGTCCGTAAAAACCGTTACTCGTACATCTGACTTACCGGTAGGGATAAGTGATAAGAGGGGAAATTCCCAGATGTCTTAAACTTCCCGCACGAAAAGAGAACGTGATATCGGGGATTTTCGAACACCATGGTACTGTACTGTACCGTACTATCTCAGATACTACTACCTCGCCCTGCCGTTTTGGTCGAGAGTTGAATCTTGACTCTCTTTAGAAATCAGGAAGGGTACTATGTTTACTAATAATATCAACCATATTCTCCACCAAATGCCTCCCAACATAGGACACCGGTCCGCATCCCATATCAGACACCGAAGGGTTCAACCTTAGCCATAGGCATACCCGTGTGTAGACAGACCCCCTTGAATGCTCAATTGCATGTACTGTACCTATCATACAAACACGACCACAAAAAAAAGTTATCTCAACACCCCCCCCACTCGATAGGGGTTAAAAGGTTGAACCCGTATCCTATGCACAGGACACGCCTCCCGTTTACAGTACGGTAGGCCATTGCCTGAGCAAGTTTTAGCATTCTAGTCTCCAGAAGCTTCCACCTTGAAGACAAACTTTGCACTATATCATACCATACGGTAGATGAGCGCGAACCAAGGGCCGAGAAATTACTACTATTACTGTACAGTACTCGTCGTCAGCCGCCGTGATCCCAAAACTTGAGATGAAATTGGTGCGCTCGCGACCGAACCCTGGAAGGCGATTGGTGCTGCCCCGAGTTCCACCCCCTGCTATCCCGCCCAACTTGCCAATGTCGTATGAGCCTCATAACGACTCTTGCCCAATCCATGGTCGAAGCGCGTTCCACCTCTTGGGATATCACGATTAAATATCGCACAAGTATGGATTAACCAACCAAAAGGTCCAATGCTCAGCCTCTTCTTCGGGCGCTTTGGCGGCCCGGCTTCAGCGGGTGTGTCACTGGAAGTGCCGGCATGATACAGTTTCTGTACTCGTGCGAATGCGGTACCGGTGCAGTGTCGAGGTCAAGCGCCAGCGCGTGTCAACTAGGTGGAAACCCGGTGCTCAGACAGGAAAATTAAGAGTCAGTCCGTGACCAACCCCCGTGCTCGGTCTGGGAAGAATACTGTAACCTAACCCCGAAATGATAAAAGCTCTTCTTATTTTCGGAAATGAAAATGGTTGAATCAAAGATTGAGGACGGCGGAAGAGATTCCGTTAGTTACTATGCCACGAATTGTTTTCCGTGCTTTATGTGCAAACCCTCTGGAGGACTGCCGCGTTCTGTCGAAGATATACTTGTAAGAGTACATCCACGGGGGGGGGGTTCACACGCATAGTAGAGCATTCAGATTAAAATTGAGTGGCTACTTGGAACTTTTTTTCTGCAATACCTTATTCCCCTCCCCGGCCAGAAATGGTCTCCGAAAGGTTTGCACAAAATGGAACTTATGAATGAGTTCATCCCTCGCTAGCAAGGCGTACCGTACTGTACGGGTACTGGAGGCAAAAAACTGCCAAGTTCTCACCTCGTGCTACCGGTAGCGAATTCCAAAGGTATCCGGACACCTTGGCGCTGAAAGAGTGTTTTCCGGTCCTAAAATATGGAACCCGACCTAGATGATCAGTAAAGTTTGTATTGAAAACAATGGAAAGAAAGAGGAAAGGAAAGAAAGTCAAGCAGTTTGTATCCTAGGGAAGAAAGTAGC